AAAAAAAAAAAAAAGATTGTGTGCTGTTGGTAGAGGAATAGACAGATCAATGGAACAGAAAGAGAACCCAGAAATGGACCCACAGAAATATGCCCAGCTGGTTTTTGAGAAAGAAACAAAAGCAATTCAATGGAGGAAGAATATTCCTTGCAACAAATGGTGCTGGAGCAACTGGATATCCATCTCTTTAAAAATGAACCTTGACCCCCCCAAAAAAGAAAAAAAGAACCTTGACCCTTGCCTTAAATTTCTAGCTTATATAAAATTTAACTCAAAATGGATCACAGATTTAAATTTAAAATGTAAAATTATCACGTTTTTAGAAGAAAATATAAGAGAAAATCTTTGAGACATATGGCTTAGTGAAAAGTTCTTAGACATTACCCCAAAAGGCATAACAGAGGGGGGAAAAACATAATTAAAAACTTTTGCTATGCAAAAGGATGTTAAAAGGATGAAAGAACAAGCTACAGACATGGAGAAAATATTTGCAAACTACAGATCTGACAAAGAACTCATATCTAGGATATATAAAAAACCCACAGCATGTAGACTTCTTGAATCACTATGTTGTATACCTGAAACTAATGTAAAATAGTGTCAACTACACTTCAGTGAAAAAAGAAAAAAGAAAAACCCTGAAAAATCAACAGAGAAAAAAACCCAATCTAATTAGAAATGGATAAATGGCATGAAGAGATGTTTCACTGAAGAAACTATACAGATTGCATATAATCACATGAAAAGATGTTCAACATCTCTACAGAGATTAGCGGGATGCAAATTAAGACCACAATGAGATATCACTGCACTATTAGAACAGTCTAAAAAAAGCAGTGGCAATACCAAATGCTGGAGAGGATGCAGATAACTGATCTCTTACACGTTGCTGATGGGAATGTCAAATGCTATAGCCACTCTAGGAGACAGTTTGGCTGTTTCTTAAAAAGCTAAACATGCATTTACCATATGGCCCAGAAACTGTAATCCTGGGCATTTATCCCAGAGAAATGAAAACCTATACATGATTGCTCATAGCAGTTTTATTTGTCATAGCTAAGACCATGGAAACAACGAAGTGTTTTACAATAGGTGACTGGTTAAACAAAATGTGGTACATCCATAGCGTGAAATACTACTTGTCAATAAAAAGGAACCAATTTTGGATATACACAAAAACTTGGATGGATCTCAAGGGCATTATGCTGAGTGAAAAAGGTCAATCTCAAAAGGTCACATTCTGTACGATACCGTTTGTAGAACATCTCGAAATTATAGAGCTAGAGAACAGATTAATGGTTGCTAGGGGTTACAGATGGGGGTGTTGGCCTTTCACTCAAGTGAATGAAAAAATCTGTTTGTAAGCCACTGTTATCTTGGATCCCTGTTACTTGCAGCTGTATATGATCTGAACTGGTAAGTCTCCGCCCACACCACACTTTTAATTTCCTCCTCCATCTCAGTCTCTTTCAAACTCACATTCCTCCATCCAACCTATAGATGTTGGCATCTCTCAAGGCATGGTCCTTACTGCTCTTCTCCCCACTCAGTAGGATCCCTAGGCAACCCTTCTCCTGTGTG